GTTATCGTTTATCGAAAACAAACTCATATTGCTCTGGCACTAGGAAGACCTACGTTCAAAATCAAGTCTCTAGCTCTTGTAGGCTAGGACAGACGGACAGACAAACAGACGGACGGACAGACGGACGGACAGACGGACAGACGGATGTACTGACAAAAAAAAGGACATGGCTAAGACAAAGACTGTACGTACTTAACATACATTTGCACAAACCCATTATACCCTATTTATAAAAAAAAAAAAACAGCTGACTGACAATTAAGTCAGATGAAGTCAGAAGTTCAGTCGGGAACTTGGAAGTTTCTTAAAATAGCGCAGCATCACAAATGAACCAAGTTTATAAAAATATAGAAATACTATTCTACATAAATATATAATAAATCATATTGATATTTTAATATAATTATTATTTAATGAGAATATGGCTAAGCTATGGCTACCAAGATCTCCAGCTAAGACAATATAAATTTAACTGAAATCCGAAGCGGTTTGTTAAGTTGCCTGAACTGGTTCAATTTAAAAATAGGAACTAGCTCCCTTAGATTCAGCATCTACACTTATTTCTATAAATAACTATTGAATCGAACTTTCACTTCTACCAAAGACAAACTCATTTAGCGAGAAATATTCTTGACTACACGTTTACTTCCATTTTGTTCCAACGTCACAAACTGAAGAGTTTTTGAATGCTGAAGAAAATAGAAATAAATCTACAGCATTGATTGAGATCAGTTTCTGAGCAGCCGTTGACAGCTGGCGTCGCATTTAAATATCCGCAATGCAGTTGACTGGAACTTGCAACTGGAACCAGTTCTTTTAAACAAGTTGCCAGCGCAGCTAAGCCGACGAGATAGCTGTTGGATAAAGCTAGACAAAATGATTAAGGTCTGTCAATGCACGCCAAGACTGGGTTGCGTTAAATTCCACCCGCGACGGTGGAATATGCGCGGAAAGCGTTTGCTTACAATTTGAATGCCGTTTAGCATGCAATCAGCTTTTGACATAAGTTCAAAGTCCTTTGTGGGAATTCACTTGATACGAGTTTTGGATAATCCACCGCTGCTTGGTGGAAAACGGGTAAGCGTGAAAGTTTGATCGGATTTCTAAGTGAATTTTCATTTGATTGTAACTTGTCGCATTCGAGCGACTTTAAAGTGATTTAAAATTATCTATGTGAGTTATATTTAAATTCTTGGCTGGAAAAGTGTTGTCTAAAACTTGAAGCGAAAAACTTGGGACGGCAAATGTATGTACATATATGCATATATACATATATATGTATATATGAGTCAGTTGCATATTGAGAATCAAAGCAGATAACCGAACCAGCGACCACGAGCCACGGGGGCTGCTGTCAACTTCAAAGCAGCCTTTCAAGTTGTATTTTGGGCAACACCTAGAAGGCGGATGCGTTGAAGGCGAAGGCGAAGGCCAAGACTACCTGCCTGACTATGACAGACAAATTGGCCATATCCCATATCGCAACACACACCCGCACACGCACACAGAGCGAGAGAGAGAGAGAGAGAGAAGTTTTGCGGGCCGCCTTTGATTTTCTAAACGAATTGTTTCAAGACAAGCCACAAGAGAAACGGCTGGCAAAAGTAGTTGGAGCTGGTGGCGTGGTGGCGTGGTGGCTGGGCACAGGGAAAAGGACTCGAAAAGGCTTGTCAGGACATGTGAGCCTCAATTAATTTGATTTGCGTTTAAGGCCCAGCCTGCCCAGCGCAGCGGCCGTCGTCAGCGACAGATCCGGAAACCGAACTGAACTCCACTTCACTTTATTTGTGATAAATTTTTTGCGCTTGGCCTGCTGCGCACGACGACGACGACGACGTCCACTTGGCCATGCCTGAATGGGCACAGGACGAGCCACTGCAGATGCCATTTGAAGATGGCCAACTATGCCTTTGAACTATGATGAAACTAATGGCAGCAGCCGGCCAGACGCAGAAAGGTTCTCGCAGCTCGCAGCTCGCATCCCGTCTCGTCCTTGGGGTCGTCAGGTCCTTGGAGTCCAACACTTGACAACGTCTCGGCCCAGTTTGAAGTGCGGCCAACTAGAGGGTCGACACGGGAACGGGCAGCAGTTGGGTTAATTGGCAAAGCTTTTTAGCCAGCTTCAACAATTAAACGCATTAGGCAACACCTCAGACACAAAATACAAGCTCCGCGTGTCGCTCGTTCATATATATAAATATATATACACTTTTTTGTTGGCCTTTGCCAACCCTCATGTGGTTCATTTCAATATTTTAGGGTTGCGACAGCCGCAATATGGCCGACAAAGTACACACACACACACACATGCACATGCACATGCACAGGGAGCGGGGCGTTTTAAAACGCGCGCGTTTTTATACCCTGAACTGAATTGAAAATCTTTGTAACAGGCAGCGGAAAGCATCTGCAATGGCAAACACACAAACTATATACGCTCTTGATTGATCTAGAGACTGGAAAATTCAAATAGATATTCTCTTATTATTATCTAATATATTATTAACCCATTATTATATACTTATATTAACCCATTTACTCACACAATATGGATAAATGACGAATTTGAGATTTGGTTATTTAGGCATAACTCGAGAATTCGGCGAGCTAGCGCCAACAAACTTGGTACGTGAATTCTCGTCGAGTAATCACAGATGGAGAATACTTCACATTTGGAAAACCCAACCCCGGTCCGCTCAGAAACCAAAAGAACTCATTTCTAAGGCTAGAGCCCTGCGCTTTGGTATACACGCACTTGAGTTCGCCGTATTCAAGCGCTAAAAACTTTGACAGAAAACGAACTTCAAACGCCGAAGATATTGAGAAATACATTTTCCATGGAAGAAGGGTAAATCAGTTTAAGAGCAGCCTGGCGCTGTCTACAGGGCATCAGCTAGTCGAGCACTCTCGACGTAGCGTATAATTGCTTGTTAATATTTGTATTTCCGAGCCGAGCCAAGTGCATTTCAATGTCGCTCCACCCAGAGCTGTGGCTAGGGGGCAGATAGGCATGCGAGCATGCTCAGATATATGCAATTATAAGGTGTAAGGGTGGCACACTGATATACCGGGGATAGGGCTGGAAGGGGAAAGGGGGGGGGGGGGGGGGGTAGGTGGGTTGGTGTTGTTAGTGACAGCGACTTAGTTTTGTTTTGACACGCAGCCAACGGGCATTGGGCGGACGAAAGAAACAACAATGGAGGGCACATTGTCACCTGACCGTTGGCCTGACCTCGGCTCCTGTGCGCTGACCGCAAAGTGTGTTAAATTATAGATTTGAGCGTTTGCTGAGAGCGACAACAGCTGTTGGAGCACTTTTGTGGTTACACGAGAGTTACGTGAGTCGCGCCAAGAGTTTGTCGACACACAACACACACACACACACACACACACACACACACACACACACACACACACACACACACAGACGCGCGTACGGCCCGAATGTCTTGGGGAACACACGCAGCGCTTTGTGTCGGCACGCGGCGTTTGAACTTAGCGAAATTAATGGCCAACACAGGCTACTTAGTGGAGGCCGAGGCCCACGCACACACACGGACACACGGAGGAGGATGACGACGACGACGACGAGGAGGAGCAGGACGGCCAAGTTGTGGCCCTTATGGCATTCGCTGATGTCTGCGCCGCTTGTTCAGTGCGCGATTTATGAGTTGGCATGCAAAGAGGCAGACAGGGATTTGCCGATCGAAGGGGTGGGTGCAGCACAGGGACAGGGGACAGGGGGCAGGGGGCAGGGGGCAAGCAGACATGACAAAACTGCATGGCGCCCGCCAGCGTCGCCATCGCCAACGCCATCATTGCGGGCCCTGTTTTGCCCACCCGTTGCGCCGCCGTCGCTGATCAATAAAAAATGAAAATTTGCGCAGCAGTTGATGAAATTTACGCGATCGGCATCGGCTAAGTTCAAAGGCGGCGTCGGCCTTGGCGCATGCACAAACTGGCCACCAGGCAACCAGGCAACCAAGCAACCAGGCAACTACCGCCATGAAAAAGCCGCGCCGCCAATTTGTTGGCGCTCGCGCCCACTGCCCAAGCGATGAATGGAGACGAAAGTTGTCGTCGTCGTCGTCGTCGTCGTCGTCGTCGTCATAGTCGACGCCAATCCCGTGGCTAATCCCGCGGCGGCGGCTGCGTGTGAGAAGTTTTAGATAAGGAACGCAAGACGCGCGCCGCTTGGCTGCCAATACTTCAAAGTGCAGAGCCGGGAACGCTTAAGCGTTCGGCCAGCTACGCAAATTTGCATTGATAAGCCAAGTGTATGTGTCGGCGCCCGAGCCGGGACTCTTTTTTTTCTTATGCGAAAGAGACAGCGCACGACGGCGGACGAGTGTTAGGTGCACACGGCACAGCTTCCTCTTTGATATACATACATACATATACACACACATGTGTGCATGCCGCCACGCAGATAAAGATAGTTAGATAATGTTCGCTTTGATGTCGCAATGGCAGCCGCACGTGAGCAGCTCGATGCACACCTTTTAAACAGCCCAAAGATCATTTCCAACTAAGAAGTCTTCCCTTCGGTACAGTCCGTACCGGATATATTAACCTTTTTTACTCTGACTAAGCTCCTACAAAATAACACTCAAATCGTTCAAATTCATTCTTTTCATCACTCCAACCTACTCCGAATCCGTTTAAATCACATTTCTACCACACATACCATGACAAACACATTACAAACTGACAAAAATATTTCAAATGCACACTCCTAATTACTCCGAATCACTCCGAATCACTCCGAATTACTCCGAATTATTCCGAATCACCCTACTAGCATACATATAACATCATCATACTTTACACTCACATAACTGGCAAAAACTCACACTCCGAAACCGTTGAAACAAGCCTACCAAGTTTTGTTACAAGATGCCGTTGCTGGATTATGATTTTGTTGGGATATATTTGGTTTTGGATACGCTTTTCAGCATCTAGGGCTTAAATAACTAATGCGGTAAACAAAGAAGACGTACAGTACTTACAAATCCATGTTTATCACTAATATTGTTGGTCAATTTTAATTTGTGAAATGAAACAACTTTTTGCATCCATTGCTCACCCGTTGTGGGCGAATCTGGATGGATGTACATGCGTTTTGGCATTTCAGGATCCGCTTTACCAGCGACCATCCAGCGACTGCAACGGAAAGGATTATATGATATATGGGCTCAACAAATTTTGTTGTGCACACACTCGGCACATACACACACACACACACATGCACACTTACCTATTATGAAATTTATAACGATAATCATCCGCCGCAACGATATCCAGTAGCAGTATGTATTTAGCCTTGGCATCCAGACCCGAAACACGAAATTTCATTTGCGGAAACATTTGTCTGCAAAACGAGAGTGTGAGAAAGAGAGAGAGAGAGAGAGAGAGCTGGTTAGTGTTGGAGTAGGACAGAGCACAAGTCATTTTGGTTTGGGTAATCAAATAAAACATTAATCAGCGCGGCATAAAGCCTAAACGCTGCACCAGGTTCTCAGGCAGGCCCACCAGGACTTGCAGAGAGGCACACACACACACAGGCACACACACACAAGCACAATCATCATCATCATCATTATCAGTGGCTGGGCAAAGCAAACAAAAGGGGCAAAGCAAACAGCGATCAGTCGCGAGGAGTCGCCACAGTCGGGGCCCAGGTTATCAAGTGGCGCCAAGCCGCAAATTGTTTCCAGCTCCAGACTCCCGACTCGAATTCAAATTGGCCCCGACCAAGGCTCCAACCAGCTTGTTGATTAGCCTTAGTCCATGTTCTGGCCATGTTGGTGGCAATGTGCAAACTCGAAAATTACATCGTCGACCTGGTGAGGTCGGGGCGGAGGCGACCAGGAGGCGGAGAGGAGAGGCGACTCGAGTCGATCAGTGACCACAGCTCCGTGCTTTGTGGTTTGCTGCTAACCACCCAAGTAAAGGGCTGCACCCTCACACACACACACACACACACACACACACACACACACGCACACACAAACAAATATGAAAATTATAAGTTTAAGTAGCAATCACTCAATCGCTGCGACTGCGCCTCAACAGAGCCAGCGCCAGCGCCAGCGCCGGGGCTGGAGCCGGAGCCTACAGCTGGCTGGCTGGGACGCCACCTTCAGCTCCAGCGCGATATCCGACGCTGCCTTCAACTTCAACTTCAGCGCCTGCGCCTGCGCCTGCGCCTCATGAATCAAATTTAACGAACGTCTTGTTCATGTTCACAGATCATCATCAGCTGCGCCTGCATTTTGATAAAACCAACAAAAAGGCCCCCAAACAAGACCGGGCCAACAGGCAGGCAGGCAGCCAGGCAGCCAGGCAGTAAGGCAGGCCAACAGCTAACAAGCTGACTGATGTCTGACTGCCTAAATGACTAACTGACGAATGGACCAACTGACAGACAAACAGACTGACGGACTGACGGACAGACGGACAGACAGGCCGAGGCATTCACTGACGGACTGCAGCGCGATGTTTCTATTTGGAGAACCGGCCCAGCAGCAGCAGCAGCAAGTGGCAAGAAGAGATGCGCCCGTCGGGTATATGCGACTAGCTGCATGACCTCTACTCACCCAAGCTAGCAACAGAAAAGTAAACCAAAGGCATATAAAAAAACCAACTGAACTGATAGTTCATACATGAAATCGATGGAATAAAATCGTGACTAGAAAGCCAGACTTTCACATTTTTGTAATTATATATAAATATCATACTTAAAAAATTTATATAAATATCATATGTAAAATATTTATATAAATATCATATAGAGAAAAGGAGAGCGAGCAAGAGAGTGAGAGAGAGAGAGAGAGAGAGGGAGAATAAATCAATCTCAAGCAATGTTAACATATTGTATTTAAGTCAATTTTTGAAGCTATTTGCTTGATTATGTTTATAAATATATATAAAATATATTTATATGATATATATCATGTTTATAAAATATAGTTTTCCAAAAATAAACAACAACATAAATTAAATATTTAGATATACCAATTTGCTAAGCAATCGAAAATCCCCAACAATACTTGCAAATTCTTTGATTGAAAACTCTTTAACAGATATCGCTCAGTTCTTCTAAATGTGGAAATTCCCAACTCTTTCAACTTGATCCACTCTTTTGTAAAGCATTCTAGCCAAAAACCAACACAATATCTATGAAAATACGCCTCTGCTCTTAACTAAACCGAAACTAATCCATTCTAACTCTGTTGTTTCTCAAGATATTCTTGTGAAACTTTCGATTTATCGCTGTACTCTCATAAAATGCACGCATACCAAAAATCAACACAATATCTCTTTCTATAAGTCTTGCCTTGTTCTGCTCTTAACTAAGCCAAAAAACTATTCCCACCTAACTCGGTTGTTTCTCGAGAGATCCTTTTGAAACTCTGTATATATCGAAGTGCTCTAATTAAATACATGCATACAAAAAATCAAGCAAATTTCTTTTACAGGGTATGCGCAGTCGCGTCGAGCATCCTGCTGACGTATCGAGAACTCACAAATCCAAAACCAGAGCCAGCCCACGTCTTCAGCCCGATGCCTTTGCCTTGCGACTGCCTTTTTCGACTGCAAATTATTTTTTATTTGCGGGCCAGCAACGGGAACTCGGTACGAGGCTGGCTCCGAGACTGTGGACTGGGGACTGGGGACTGGAGACTGCGACTGGGACTGTGGACTGGGGACTGTGGACTGGAGACTGCGACTGAGGCTGGTACTGGGACTGAGGCTGGGACTGAGGCTGTGGCACGTCTGCCTGGTTAGTTGGGCTCCTTTTGGCTGCGTTTCGCTGCTTTTCTTTTTTTCTTCATTTTTTTTTTTTTGGGTATTTGTTGTTGTTGTTGTCTTAACTGAATAGCTCGTTAACATTATTGAGCACTTGGCGCCAGTTGTTGGCAGCTTGTTATGGCCATGGCCGGAGCCAGAGCCAGAGCCAGAGCCAGAGCCAGAGCCAGAGCCGGAGCCGGAGCCGAAGACGCGCCGCATAGCCCCATAGCCGCAAGCGCCAACTGGAGCCAAGTCGCGTTGGCCCAAAACAAATCGGCCCACCACACGCGCACAAATTCTCCCCCCTACCACCCTCTCACCCCTACCACTCTACAAGCGTGTGTGTGTGTGTGTGCAGCTCGAGCTGTGCTCGACAACAAAACGATTTGCTCTCGTTTGTGTTTGCCCAGAGCTGAGCTGAGGCTCTTGTCCAAAGCTGCTTCTTCTTTTGGCAACGGCTGCTGCTGCTTCTTCTTCTGCTACTTCTTCTGCTGCTGCTGCTGCTGCTGCTGCTGCTTCTTCTTCTTGTTGCAGCTTCGTGCAAATCGTTACGTGTAAAACTTGCACCTTTTGACCAAAAGTTGTTTGTTTTGTGGGCCCACACATTATTTTTTGCGAACGCGCTCGGCTAATTCAATTTTCTCATAAGCTGTCCTTCTCTCACTCTCTCTCTTATTCTCTCTCTCGCTTGCTCTCTCCGGTTTTATTGGCCAGCAATAACAAACAACAACGAGCTGTTAATGTGGCTTGAAAGTGTTTTTGGCAGCCTACTTGGGCTCGACCCAGGCCCGTTCTGTGAGGACCCATAATTAAGCCTAATTAAGCCGACGGTGTGTACGGCTGTGTGTGTGTGTGTGTGTGTGTGCTGCCATTGAGGTGTCTCCTCTGCCACAAAGACGCTCGCGTCCCTATTGAGGTTAATGGCTAATCAATTAGCCCCGGGCTCGGAGCACTTGGCCCGAGCCGGGCCGGTCCGGGCCGGGCCACTGCGGCTCTCCGGCTCTCCGGCTGCCACATTTCGTCCTGGGTGAAATAAATGCTTCAACGATTGAGTTGTAATTGGCATTTCGAGCCATTGACATGGGCCAGCCTCGAGCCCGACCAAGATAACGCTCAGTCAACCAGATAAAAATAACAGCACACACAAAAAAAACACACACACACAAATGCTGCCCGAATTACGTAATGGGCCTTGGTAACAGAACAGATCGTTTTCCCTAAGCAGGACACAGATACCTGACTAGAAGATACCTCTTACAGATATCGCAACCTCCATTCACACACGCACACCTCACACTATCTATAAGAAATGGTTCGGTCTTTAGAGTCCGATCTTAATGCTTTTTTCAGCCGTGACATAGCCAAGTCCGTCCGTCGCAACCCGCCGGATCGGGCCACTATATAATATAATTGCCAGAGGAAAGATCGAGTAAAAAGTATGTGCTTGTATGGGAACCCTTGGCTTATCAAGATATCTTACATTTACTAAGCTGGCTATAAATGATATACTATATAGTAGCTCTTACATAGGAAGAATCGGTCGTAAAATGAGTCTTCCAGCCTTTAAGAGCTTCACTATTCGCACATAATGTCAAGAGGGGTCTAAAAGAGGAGGGGATCGTTGCTTTCTCGTTTCTAAATTTACCAACACTGTTCACATCATTTTATAGGCTATGACAACTGAGAGTGTTGATCAAAGAGCAAGTCTTTTCTCCGGCCTGAACTCTGAGCTAGTTTTACAATCAGGAGAACAGCAAGATTTGGATATAGCTTAAATTCAGGCCGTAGACAGCTGGCCAGACAAGCTGAAAGAAGAAGAAGAAGTACAAGTGAAATGCGTACAGCCATTAGATGTTGCCACATGCCGCACTGCGCGGCAACTGCGCGGCAACAAAGGTGTTGCGCTATCGGCCGCAACTAAACGGCGCCTGTTGACGCACCTGTGCGCGTCATGTCTTTCTTTTTGTCGCAGGTCGAAGGCTAAAACCAGAGAAGCGTCAATTGTCAATGTTTTATCTGCTGCTCAAATCGGACGGAGCGATAAACCAGAAGAAGAAGCTGCCCCCAGCTGATGTCCGTGTGTGTGTGTGTGTGTGTGCGTATGTGTGCGTGTGTGTGTGCGAGCTAACAAAGGCTCAAAGTGCCAGTCGCAGTTGCAGTTGAGCTGCGTTCGCCCCTTTCCCCCTCTCTCCAGACCCTGCGGCAGACCGCGTTTGCGGACGTTTTGTCAACATGCGCGGGGATTAAAGTAGCACCTGCAGCCGGCAAAGGCGCGCCGGCAACGATGTCAACAACAACAACAACAGCAACAACAGCAACAACAACAACAACAACAACAACAACAGCAACAACAACAACAACTGCGACGGCTGTTGACAGTTCGCCTTTGTGACAACAAAATTGTTGTCGACTTTTTTTTCGTCTTATTTGTATGCCCATTTTTCGAGGGTATTATAAAACTGTCATGAAACATATTATGCAACTAAGAATATATGTATGTATGTATATATATACATATATATATATATATTAGACTTCGAGTCCGTTTGGCGTTTCAAGACCAGATCGAAGCACTAT